TCATTTTTTCAAGGCTTGTATTTGTACAGCTGTTACCCAAACATAAAGGCTGATAGTTTCTAAAGAAACTGTTTGGGGCTGCGTTGGTGGGGGTAATGAAATAATTTGGAGATAGCAACAAAGTTGAAATGGTAAATTCGCCACCGTAACGATTACAAAAGCTGACGTTTCGAGCGTTAGCCCTTCGTCAGAGCGAATAGAGGAATTCCTCTAATTTACCATTTCAACTTTGTTGATATATCCAAATTATTTTGTTATTCAAATACATTTCTATGCAGTATACAGGGTGCATGTGTATGTGCGTTAAAAAATCTGGAGAGGATGAGAGATTGTCTTTTAAACAAATTTGATGCACATGAATTCAATTTTGCAAGAAAAACATTAATGTTAAAATTGTGTTACCTAAAGCAATACTGCTATCTCATATCATATTACATCTCTTTGCGAGAGGCCTTAGCTATATGTACACTGTAGAACAAGCTCTGATATCCTATTATTCTTTTTTGTCCTTGAACATTCCAAGCTGCAGATTGAAACTGAAAAATTTCCAGACATTTATAAATATGGTTTATCTATCCCTTTATCTCTAGTATTTTGTATCCAATCATACCTATAAAAAAGCATTGTCAATGATACTGTATCTATAGATAAAATCCTCTTTTCACACACATGCAATGGAATTAAATGCATTCAATTCCCGTTATCATAAAACATTTTGATGACTAAGTGCAGCTTTCTCAGCGACTAAAAGTGAGGTTACAAAACCCAAATGTCCTAACTCAGAAGAAGTTATTAAGATGATGAAAACAAAAACAAAAACACCAAAATCAGTAACTTTCACCTGGGTAACATCCTTGGCCTGGTCACCTTCCCAAGGTAACCGATTCTTTCCTGCACTAAAGAATCTTCGAGGACTTGGCCCAGACATGGAAAATGAATCAGTGGGTCCTGGTGTGGAGCGACTGGACCCTGATGGATCGGCTGAACCTGTTCCAGCAGTGCCCGCTAAGATCCAGTCAATGTCAGCCCCACGTGGTGTGTTGCTCTGACCTCTGATTGTTCCTGATGATGGCATAGGAACTGCATACTCAACCAAACCATCCCTATTCAGGCGAGGAAGCTGCCTCCTAGCTAACCTAGCAGTGATAGCAGCCATTACACCATCACCACCCATTGTAAGCTCAATGTTATCAACTGCTGTCACCACAGGTTGAATGCGTCCAGGTCCCATTGCTTGCGCTATAACTGCAAAAGCGTCCAGTGCTGCTTGTCGCACTCTTCTTTTGCTATCAACTAATGCTGGAGCTATTGCATTGGTCAGTTCTGGAAGATTGAAGTCTGAACTAGGAAATGTAAGTAGTGCAGCAATGAAAACGTTTACGGTTTCTTCACGCACTCTTGAATTTCTATGTTGTAAGTTTGATGTCAACACAGTTAAAACTGACTTTGGAGAAAGAATTTGCATGAGCTGCATAAACACCTTCATATTTTCCTGTCTAATTACAATCTTATTGTCACCTAATTTGTTTGATAGTGCTAACAGCAAAGGTTTAAGAACAGGATGTACGCCAACCCCCAATTTAGCAACCAGTAATCCAATAATCTGAAGACTAGTGACACCAATTTTAAAGTTCACATCGTCCACGAAGCTAAGCAGTAATGCAAAGAGTGGTCCCAAATTGGGTTGAATTGGTTCTGTATCGGTCAGCTGTCCCATAAGAGTTTTCAGTTCTTCAATTCCCTGAGCTCGAATCCTCCAATTACTTTGATCTCTAAGTTTAAACATCACAGGAACAGGGACAAAACCAAACTCGAGCAGTCCATAGTTCGTATCAGGGTGATTATCTGTACTAGTTATGGCTATCGTATGCCCTCTATCGAGCACGGTCCCTCTATCTAGTTCAACGTCTGCAATGATTCCGTTCGTATTCAAGTGACCGGCACTCTTGGCCTTGCGACCTCCAAGCAGCTCCAATTCTTTAACGGGATCGGCGCTTCGATTTTGTAGCGCCGATATACATAAATTTTGTTGATCAGGCGATAGGCGATGAAGGTAGCTTTCGAAAATTGTGGACCCAACAACATTTCGTATCCTTTCGAGAGAGATGACAGCAGGTGAAGTCTCGGGTCTCGACGAAGTTTCTAACTTACCAACACGCGCTTTTGTCAACGTAAACAGATCTTCGTGGGCCAGGTTCGGCATTATGAGAATTGGTAAAGCAACTAAACTTTCTGTTCTTGTCCTTCGGTCATCACTTTCAAGGCCATGATCGATGATAGCATTAAGAACAGCACTGACTTGCGAAGAATGTTTCATGTACACATGTAGGGTCTGAATAGCGGATTTTTTCACCGACACCTGGTTGTCTCCGATGTTTGACACGAGCAGAGGAAGAACAAGTGTCATGCAGCTATCCAAATCCTCTCCAAACTCAGGAATTATTTCACACAAGAATTCGAGGCAACACAATCTGGTGTTAGAGTTTGAGTCGGCCAGCGCTTCTTGCAGAACACGAAATAAACCAAGTCGATCGTCAAATTGTAAGCGACCACCATTTCGCCGTCCGTTTGCTCTGAGCTCGTCCAAAATGTCAGCTTTCTTCGCAGAGTCACTGTTTCTAGCTAGTCCCGCTAGCACTTCATTCTCTTCCATATTTTGTACAAGGACTTCATCAGGCTCGGCGATCACTGATGACAGTGGTTTTAGCTTGGCAACACTACTAGCCATCTACCGTATGCATGATTGTAAAGCCTATTAATTGCCACGAAATTATCAACAAACCGCTGCTACATAACCATCGCCAGGGTTTTATGCTTAAACGATGTATGCATACGTTAGCAATAAAATCTTTTCATCTCCAAAACAAGCAACCAGGCAAAGAAAACATTAGAGGAAATAACCTTGATCCATTACATTCGTCAAGAGAGTTTGAGCGGAATTCCACAAACTTTCACTGCTACACACACAGGTTCCCGGATGGAGAGAAAGTGACATCAAATAATGCACAGTTCATAAGCTGTTCTGATTGGTTGAAATCAAAGAGAATAGAATTGAGAAAAGTAACCAAAAATTTCCAAAAATATTGCCGGGGCGAAGACTAAAATCTATTCCTGCAAATATACCAGCAGTCATTCCACAAAATTTATCGGCACCTCCGTAACTAAATTTTGGGCGATCTCGAGAAGTTGAAAAACAGGAACAGCATTACCCATTAATCATCATTTTGTTATCGTGATTTTACCTGTAACTGACCGAGACACAAGGACCCGAAATACTTAAACCAATATTTCAGACGTTAACAAGCCCTTTTTTTCCACTTGAATAGAATGTCAGCCGAACATTCTCAAGTGCAAAGCAGGGGGGGGGGGGGGGATCATAATATTTAATTTAGTACATGCAAACTTCAATACACGCACAAGGTGGAAAAAACTAATTTACAGGGAAGCAAATGTTTGCTTGTTATTAGCGCGAAAAATAATATTTACTTTGTATACTAGATGAAAAGATTTTATGCTCTTTGGCATAGAATATGCATATTCCCCATGCTATGATTTTGGCCATAATTATGTAAAGTTAGCTCTTTCTTATTTGATTGTTTTTTATTTATTTTTTTATTTTTTTTTCTGTAAAAATTTGGGGCTCTTTTTTCATCTGAGAGCGAAAATATGAATTACCAGCTAATCACTTGGTATAAGACTCATTAACACGAAAGTTAAGTTTTTGGCAGGCAGTGCTAATGCCAGAACCAACCGCTGACTGATTTCAAACCCAATTTTGTGTGCAATTCTATAAGTATAAGCAAGGGTTTCTTAAAACTTTTGACGATAAAAATCAACGGTAAAACACGACGTTTCGACCGTGCTTCGGTCATTGTCAAGTGAATGGAATGAAATACAGTAAATATATGTATATATACACGTAAGTAATATAAAAAATTTTTGCATGTGTAAACAAACAATAAAACTACAAATAAAGTGCTAGTAAAAAGCTGATTAAAAACCTTAGCATTCGTGCTAAGATCACACAGTAATTTCGTGCGTATGAAATTAACGTCTCCTACCCCCAACCCTGCAGGAGACGGGATCTCCATTTATTCGTCCCTATCCGAGAAGACTAAAATATCTAACCATTTCTAGATGTTATAGAAGGGTAGCAAATTCTTCTCAATTATTTTAAGACCTTGAGTGTTGGTCCGGCTGGGGCTCGAACCCTCGACCTCCCGCACAACAGTCCAGCGCACTATCTATTGGGCTACAAAATGTTTGTTCAAATGAATGGAAAAAATGTAGGGGAGAGGAGGGTGGTGTTTAACTCTGCAATTGTTAGTTCCTTATTGGTCTGTAAAAGCTGTTTCTTGGCTCAGAATAATAAAATTGTTTACGAAAACTGTGAAAATCTTCTTAATCTTGAAAATGGGTCTAGAGAGCTAAAAGTATACAAATAAATGCGATCATATTATTAAGAAGCGGGAGAACGAAAAATGGATTGTGGGGGATTGCAAAACCAAACCCAAAGTTTGGAGCCTTTATGACGTCTGGTTCATTTGCATTCTGCTAAGCGATCACTCAGTCGGCAATATCAGTTACGTAGTGAATTTTATTTTTATTTTTTCTACAGGGACAAAAATACACAATGACGCAATTTCTTTCGTCATTATGATGATCAGCTGTCTTTTCCTTTTTCTGCATGGTATCGATGACAAAGAAAAAGTGAAAATGGTCAGTAGCTGGTTGATGGAAGAGATCAAGAAAAACATTTTAAATATTCGCTTATCTTGGCCACGGGCCTTTACCATTTCGTCATTACTCAGGGCGGCCTCTTTTGTTATATATGAATAAAGGCTGATAGGCTAAAGAAACTGTTTGGGGCTGCGTCGGTGGGGGTAACGAAATAATTTGAATATATCAACAAAGTTGAAATGGTAAATTGGTCACCGTTACGATTATAAAAGCTGACGTTTCGAGCGTTAGCCCTTCGTCGCAGCGWMTAGGGAAGGGCTAACGCTCGAAACGTCAGCTTTTATAATCGTAACGGTGGCCAATTTACCATTTCAACTTTGTTGATATATTCAAATTCTTTTGTCAGATACTTCCACATGCACAAGCACTGATCATGATTGTATCGATCGATATACTTAGACACTTATGATCTTCTTGGCAGATCATTACTACGGTTTTTTTTTCCCTAAACCTAGCTAATTAATCGCTTTAAGTTTTAAGTCCATGGGGGTAGGAGAGGGGAGGGGAGGGAAGGAGGGGAGGGAAGGAGGGGAGAGAGGCGACTTAAAATTAATTTTGCGCGCACCGTATGACGTTTGTCAGTCGGTGACTCCTAAGAATAATCAGAGTACAATCGAGTTCTCCAAACTAAAAATCCTTAGTTTGTTTAAATTCGAAAAAGAACCCGCTAGGAATTTCTCAACCGACAAATCATCGCAAATAAAATTCATATATTTATCTCGGAGATTGCTGCGTATCTTGCATAGTCTGTGCACCCGGTGATCGGCGAAGCCGCGAGAGGCTTGGGACGAATTCTTTGTTGTTGTTGTTTTTTTCACTGTGGAATACAACAATAACAGTACAAAAGAGAAAAAAAAATCTACTAACAAACAGCTACCTGATATTAAGTAATGCAATGTACTATATATTTGAATATGCTATGATCACTTGACTTTTTCCTTTGAGGGTTTTCCCTGAGTACGGTAGAGGCCAGTGGGGTGATCTCATGTGATATTTGGCTTCCAGTTGAAGCTGCACGTTTCACAATTTAAAAACCAAAGTATTCTATTCTATATTTCGATTTAGAAGTATCAAATAAACCTCTTTTGTATTTTACCTTTTTGATATTTTTTCATGATCATCATTACCTGTGGTATTTATTCTGATGTTTTCTCAGCCTTTTGTATGTCGTAATGTCGCAATGTCCTTTGAACCGGAAAACCATATATGGAAGTGGCCTGATATATGGAATTTTTGCAAACAAAAGTTATCAGGTGATAGTCTAATTCTCGTGGAAGATACTGTCGTTTCTAGTCGGTGTGCGCAAAAGTTTTTTCGTTCCAAAATATTTTTGTTTTAAAACCATTTGGAAATATATATTTCTAGAGACATTGCAAGCACCTCCATATTTGGAAGAAAGCGTTATTGTCCGAAATCAGGCTTGGTCACGTGATTTCCAAGCAAAATGAAAATGAAGAGGAATGTTCATAATTCCATGTGAACTTAAGTAAAAAAGGATCGTTACACTCATCATCATGGAATGAGAAAGTCGTCCTTGTTGTCACAACGGCATTGCGACATCCTAAGCACGGTTCCTGGTTCACCACGAAAGACAAGGTTGCTGCGCAAGTTGAGATTGACTTGAGAGCAGACGACATCATGGCCGGCTGTGAAGAAAGCTGTGGGTTTTACTTTGTCTTTGCCCTTGTGACATTTTTCGTGTGGATGGATCTAAGCTTTTTCGATGAACTAGCCGAACATGGTTCATTCTACAATGAGTCAATGGCAGAACACATGATGTTCCCAGTGAAAACGGTCAAAATTCGGATGCAGGACCATACGGATCATTACGTCAATGTTCCTTGCATGCAATTTTTAAACGAGAATACGGGCTTACACACTGTTCCCGGAGTTACTCCCAATCTTATTAGTGGAACTCATCTCTTTTTGGCTGTTATGGCAGCGAAGTGCTTCATTTCAGGTTCCCTTGGCATTCGTAGGCTTGGAGTTCTTTTTTATCAACTTCGCTGTGCGTTGGATATCTTAGACGGTGTTGTGTTTCGTGCGCAACAAAATATTAGAGGCAATTTCATGTCCGTTTGGGGATCGATGGGTTATTTAATCGATGCTTTCGCTGATATGGTGGGTGGTTTGTTGGTTGGGTTAGCATGTGCTGTATTTCTGAACCGGTTTCCACCTTGGAAACGCGTTAGGACAAAGCCTCACGATGAACTAGAATCGGGAAGAAAGGCTGTGAGTTTTCAAACCGAAGAGGAGGAGCGTTATGTCCATGTTAGTCGGCGTTCTGTAAATATTAAAATGTTCCTCATTATTGCTCAAATTGTTGCTAGAAGTGGATTTTGGGACCATTACTTACATTCCTACGTGGAATTATTGGAGACCCCTAACCCCGATATTCCGAGGGTAAGTGGAGTTCATGAGAATATTTTTGCTTTTCTACACAACCCCCATAGCTTATGATATTGTCTGTCAAGAGAAGATCCATGATGACAATGTATTAATTGAAAATTAATGTTCTTAAACACTTTGGGCAAATCACGTTACAAAGTGATAATTGCAGACAAGGCTGGCAAAATTCTGAGTTACGAAGGCTATAATTTGATGGAGTTTAAAGAGCATCTGTGACTAATTGTGATTGCTGTCTGAGTAATTAGTGAACAGCATTCATTGGTTACTCCAATCTAGGATACAGTTATTTAAGAAGGCTCCATAGGATTTTTTGAGTATGCAAGATATGAATGCAAACATGGTGCCAACATTAAAAAAATGTCAATAACGAAATCAAACATGGCAGCTCTATATGATCGCACGATTATTTTTAAAAAAATGTGTACAGAACGATACAGTTTTTATATTATGGACTCATTGGTGTTCAGCTAGGATACCTACAATATACAAAGTCCTTCTAAGCCTGTAAAAGGCTGATGTCACTTCTGCGAAAAGTCTGGCCACTTAAAAAAGAAGTGACAGAAAGATAGCAGCGAAGGAAAGATTGCAAAAAGACTACAAATCCAATGGTTTATGCATGCTCATTTATCTATGTTTTGGGAGTATTTGAGTGAGACTCATCACATATCCTCCTATAGAATTTCTTAGGATTTGGTGGAGCATTTGACATGTTTGTGGCCTTCCTTTTGCCAATTAATGAACAAATTAATAAGACTAATTCTATTTGCATAAAGTGAAGAAACATTAACCACAGAAATTTACAGTTCAACCCTCGCTTATTACAATTTGGTGACTTTTAATGATCTAGAAGACCAAAAACATTAAAAATTTTCCTTGTAACCCATTATCGGGCTAAAATTCTGTGAACACACCTTAATGTTGCCAGTATTACAAAAAAAAAAAGCTATTCATGATAATGCCAGAATGAAGAAACCTCTCCTGGCTAGGGCTTCTGTTTTGGGTTGTACGAGATCTGCAATGATAATTATATCTTGAAACAGTGAATACAGCTTTGCAACCTTCCTCACTTTTATTTGCGTTCTTCTTTACAAAGGAGCTACAGGCTGAAGTGCTCAGTTATCGCAGCACTTGGGTGATCATGTGGCTGTGGAAAGTGTCTAGTGCTGATGCATTTCTGCAATTTACAAGCCTTGCAATCCTCTTTGATAAGTTATGGGTGAGTAACTAGATTGTTGCAGCCACTATTATGAAATTCATGTCATCAATAGATAGACGTTTATCTTGAAGATGTTGTATTGTGTTGATTTCTATCGTTAATTTCAGGTTTGGGTGCAGATCCTGAACTACTTCGGCCCCCTTGAGCTTGCCTTTGTTATTGTTCTCTCTCAACTGCATTTAATGGAGGTATGGCAAGTTTATATAACAAACATGAGAATTAGTTACTACTTTTATTGGTGCTTATGGAGTTAGTTATGGAATGATTGATGCAGGACAGCCTTAAACTTTTCATCTGGCCTTGATCAGCTTGGGTGAACTTTCAAGATATTTGGTACCTGACCAATCTGATACCTGACCAATCTGATTGTGTTACATTCCCGCAGCAAAATTCTATTTGATTTTTTACCCAAATTTTTGCAAAATTTGATAGAATGGAATGCATCCTCTGCTTGGCACTTGCTTGGAAGCATTTGGGCAGATAACTTGAGCATCATGTTAAGTAAACTTGGGCCACAATGACACCGAACACTGAAGTGTTCTTTTTCTTTATCCCTTTAGGTAAGAGCATACTTGCTTGGGACATGAAGCCTTATTGAACCATGCTGTATATTGTTCCTTACTGGAGCTTAATTAATTTCCTCTTATTTTTTGACATTGTTAATACTTAAAGTATGCCACATGAAAGAGATTGGATCAATTTTCCCCCTTCTCATCTTTTAAGTAGGGCATGGACTCAAGCCTGTCACATTCAAGACTTTGATTGGATGTCAGGTGGTTTTAATAGAATAAATTCCAAATACTTTAAAGACTTGATATGATGAGGTATGACTGTGGCAATTTTTCACTTAACATACATTAAACGATAATAGGGGTTAAATTCAGCACTAAAGTTGTGGTCCAACTTCCAAAGAAACTACAAGGACATTTTCTTTTGATGGTGTATAACTACTTCAGGATTGTGTTGAAAATACAGACAGCTACAAGTTGTACCAGTCAGTATTTTTTTTTTTATTTTCAGAGTAATTTTAGTTCAGATTTGTCTAATGGATTGATAGCACTTATTTGTGACACCAATACTACTAATGATATATATATTAGATTAGCCCTTTTCTTCACTTCACAGCCTTACCTTGCTTTATCACAAGAGAGTTGAAAAAGAAAGAAATGTTTATAGAGAATTATTTAAAATATTTTCTTACTATTTTGTATCCATTTAACACTATGATTGCCAAAGAGAAATTATCAGTATCGAATCATAATCTTTCTAAAAGGTTCAAAAGAAAAGAGAACTAATATACAGAATTGACACCAACATCATGTACAATGCGTCTGTTATTGTGAAGATCCTCACCTAATAAAAACATGGAAGTTTTGGTGAATTTTAAATATGTAAGATTAGTGTTAAATCTTTTGTTTCAAAAGTGCATTGCTGTATATATGAAAGATTGAATTGATTTTTCAGACTAGTTTAAGAATTAAGTACTGTAAGTTGCTTGCACTTTGCTTTGTTGTCAAGGTTGTCCCTTCTACATGGACACCTTTTTTGCTTTAAATTTCATGCAATGCCATATGGAAGTTGAAGGAATAAGATTACAGGAGCACTTAAATGAAGTAAAAGCATTCCAATTACCTCTCAAATAGATCATGTTCATTATCAGAGTCAACATAATGTGATTAACGTAATTGCAATAATGATGTCGAATACAAATTAAGACTTAAAAGAGAAGTATTAAAGTGTAAGTAGGATATTGTGTTGATGTACAGTCATTGTTTTCCATTTTCTCAACTATGGCTATGAGAACTTATGTTGCACACTTCAAGGGTTACTTCGAGGCTAAGCTATATATAGTATAGAAAGTGTAAAATGGCAACTTCACTTTACTTCTTAGTGTGACAGATTTCAGCTTCACTATTTAGCAGAGAGTTTAAATAGCGAACCATTTGGTTTATATTTTGTACTGTTTGGCTAAGCACCAGTGTACAGTTTATCAAGGATAACATATTCACAATTCACCTCATGTTTGTGGTAAATTGCTATTACAGCACATTTGAATTAAAAAAAAAGCTGAGAGCTGTATGGTGGCCGAGAACTGCCATTAAAAATATTCAAATTTATAGGAATTATTTTTTAAATTTCAATTTATTTCCCATTTTTCTTTTTAAAATAAAAGCAAGTGAAAGTAAAATGTAAAATAGAAATAAAATGAAACCAAAGATAAATGAAATCTAATCAAAATTAAATACTACCCGGCCGAGCACTGCCACTATTTTTTTTTTTGTTTTTTTCTTCGCCGTCGGAAAAAAAATTTATTCGTGGCCAAACGCTGCCACGTGGCCAAGGGCTGCCAAACAAACCTAGAACTCTTTGCAGGATGCCTTTCAAGATTTTAGTATGGCAGATGCAGCGTGGAAAAAGTTAAAAGAGAAAGTGACTGTGAAAAGAGGGAAGAAGCGTGATGCAGGAGATACAACGCATAAATTAATTAAAGGAAAGGAGCTGTATAATAATAACTGTCGAATTCAATGAAGAAAAAGAGCCATTTGCCCACGGTGGGTTTTGCAATGCATACAAAGCAACCACAAAGCACCCAAAGTTCAAGGGGACTACCTGGGTAATTAAAAGATACCTTCCTGATGCTATGAAGGGAATAAATGACATTGGGAAAACTGTCCAACAACACACTCAAAAGGCGGTTCAGATGCATCTTCTTGCAAGGAATTTTGCTCGCCAGTTGGAACAAAAAATTTAACT